ACGAAGCGTGTGAGGGGTGCGCCGAAATGGAGGTGGAACCGCATGCGGACCCTGACACTTGGGCCTTCGGTGGAGCTCCCTATGGGGCCACGAAACGAGTGAGGGGTGCGCCGAAATGGAGGTGGAACCGCATGCGGACCCTGAACACTGATGCCTTCGGTAGCTCCCTATGGCCACGAAACGGTGTGAGGGTGCGCCCGAAATTGAGGTGGAACCGCATGCGGACCCCTGACCTATCTATCTATGGGGGGGGGGGGGGGGGGGGGGGGGGGGGGGGGGGGGGGGGGGGGGGGGGGGGGGGGGGGGGGGGGTGGGGGGGGGGGGGGGGGGGGGGGGGGGGGGGGGGGGGGGGGGGGGGGGGGGGGGGGGGGGGGGGGGGGGGGGGGGGGGGGGGGGGGGGGGGGGGGGGGGGGGGGTAGGGCCAGTTGGTGGAGCTCCACCTATGGGGCCACGAAACGTGTAGGGGTGCGCCGAATGGAGGTGGAACCGCCTGCGGACCCTGACACTGGGGCCTTCGGTGGAGCTCCCTATGGGGCCACGAAACGTGTGAGGGGTGTGCCGAAATTGGTGGTGGGGAGGCATGCGAACGCAGCCACTGGGGCCTTCGGTGGAGCTGCCTATGGGGCCACGAACGTGTGAGGGGTGCGCCGAAATGGAGGTGGAACCGCATGCGGACCCTGACACTTGGGCATTCGGTGGAGCTCCCTATGGGGCCACGAAACGTGTGAGGGGTGCGACGAAACGAAGGTGGAACCGCATGCGGACCCTGCCACTGGGGCCTTCGGTGGAGCTCCCTATGGGGCCACGAAACGTGTGAGGGGTGCGCCGAAATGGAGGTGGAACCGCATGCGGACCCTGACACTTGGGCCTTCGGTGGAGCTCCCTATGGGGCCACGGAACGTTGAGGGGTGCGCCGAAATGGAGGTGGAACCGCATGCGGACCTTGCCACTGGGGCCTTCGGTGGAGCTCACTATGGGTCCACGAAACGTGTGGCCATGATGGAGACGGCGATGATGATGACGACGATGGTGATAAGAACGATGATGATGATGATCATGATGATGATGATGATGATGATGATGATGATGATGATGATGATGATGATAGATGATGATGATGATGATGATGATGATGATGATGATGATGATGATGATGATGATGATGATGATGATGATGATGTCGATGCTGTTGATGATGTGATGATGATGATGATGATGATGATGATGATGATGATGATGATGAGAGGGATGAGGGAGGAGGGGGAAGAGGAGGAGAGGAGAGGACGCGGGCACCGTCTCTTCAAAACGAGGACCCAACACCACAGGATGGTTGGGAAAAAACCATTCATGATCTTTTTAGGGCTATAGGGCTATGTGGCTATAGGGCCCTAGGACCATAGGGCTATAGGTCTATAGTCCCACCAGCCCTTTGGGCGTGAGTGGTTTAGAGAGCCCGCTCTGTTCTCAATCCCCCTTCTTCCCCGTCGGGGAGGGGTTTACCCCTCCCCCTACCCCCTCCCCCTGGGCCTGGAGAGGTCCCTCCGCGGGTCGTCAGGGGGGTCAATTTCGACTCCTGGGAGGGCTAAAAAACGACACCCCTCACGAGGATTCTGGCCCCGACGGGGGGAGGAAGAAAAAACCCTCTCCTCTTCTTTGAAGCCAAAATCATTGATTTTACTACGGTTTTGGCCCCATTTTGGCCTTCTGAGGGGGCAGCGCTAATTAAAGCTCCCCTCTTCTTTCAAGCCAAAATCATTGATTTTACGAAGGTTTTGGCCCCATTTTGCCCTTCTGAGGGGGCAGCGCTCATTAAAGCTCCCCTCTTCTTTGATCGATTTCCTCCAAGATGGCCCCAAGAAGCGCCCAGGAGGCACCAAGAGGCCCCAAGATGGCCCCAAGAGGCCCCCAGGAGGCCCCCAAGAGGCCTCCAAGAGGCCCCCAAGATGCCCCCAAGAGGCCCCCAAGAGGCCCCAAGAGGCTCCCCCGAGGCACCCAAGACGCTCCTGGAAGCCCCTGGGGCCGCCAAGAGGCCCCCAAGACGCCCCAAACGGCCTCCAAGAGGCTCCCAAGAGGCCCGAAGAGGCTCCCCCAAGGCACCCAAGACGCTCCTAGAAGCCCCTGGGGCCGCCAAGAGGCCCCCAAGACGCCCCAAAAGGGGACGAGGTGCCCGAACGCCTCACGCCACGAGGAGCCCGAACGACTCACACCAGGACGAGGGGCCCGAACGACTCACACCACGAAGAGCCCGAACGACTCACACCAGAAGGAGGGGCCCGAACGACTCACACCAGGACGAGGCGCCCGAACGACTCACACCACGAGGAGCCCGAACGACTCACACCACGACGAGGGCCCCGAACGACTCACACCACGAGGAGCCCGAACGAGTCACACCAGGAGGAGGGGCCCGAACGACTCACACCAGGACGAGGGGCCCGAACAACTCACACCACGAGAAGCCCGAACGACTCACACCAGGACGAAGAGCCCGAACGACTCACACCACGAAGAGCCCGAACGACTCACACCAGGAAGAAGGGCCCGAACGACTCACACCAGGACGAGAAACCCCAAACGACTCAAACCACGAGGAGCGCTTTCTCTCCCTCCTCCTCCGCCTCGTCCTTCTCCCGCTCCCACCACAAGGAGGATGTACAAGGAGGCGGGAGGAAGGAGGAACAGGGGAGATATGCGGGGGCAGGCGGAAACCCGCCTGAAAAACACGACTGTCGGCATGCTTCGCAAGAGTTGCTGTTTTGAGATGGGTTGGTGGGGACACGCGAAGCGTGAAGAATTCTATAGGGCTATCGGGCTATAGGGTGATAGGCATATATATAGAGAGAGAGCTATAGGGTTATAGGGCTATAGCGCTGTAGGGTTATAGGTCTATGATGAGAAAGGCTATAGGACTATAGGACTATAAGGGCTATAGGGCTATAGGATTATAGGGCGATTGGGCTATACGGTTATAGGGCTATAGGGCTATAGGCCTATCAGGGCTACAGAGCTATAGGGCTATAGGGCTATAGAGCTATAAGGCTGTAAGGCTATAGGGATAGGGGTATTGGGCTATAGGACTATAGGGCTATAGGGCTATAGGGTAATAGGGCTATATGGCAATGGAGCACCTGGGCACCCGGGCACCCGGGCACCCCTAGGCACCTCCTGGCACCCCAGGGCACCTCTAGGCACCCCCGGGCACCCGGGCACCAGGTCCGGCCACCGAAATCGGCGACGAACCTCACCTAACCATATGAATCCGCTAGGACCCCTACAGAGGCAAGCCCCGTTTGAGGAACCATATGAATACGCTAGGACCCCTACAAAGACAAGCTCTGATTGGGGAATGGGGCGATGCACCCCCGTCCGGCACGTTTCCCGCATGAAGCAGGTACCACGCAGGTGGCCCGCGTGCGGGTGGATCACCCGAAGAACTAATTGAGAAAAGCTCATCGTTTCACTTGTATTTTGGGCCCCAAGATGAGGCGATGCACTCGCGCTCAATGCGCAACCTGTTTGGAACAAACGCTACGCAGGCGACCCGCAGGCAGGTGGATCACCCGAAAAGTGATTAAGAAACGCCAATCGTTCGATTTGCAGTCGAGGCCCCAAGATGAGGCGATACACTCACGCCCATCTCGCGTATGCAGCAGGCACCGCGCAGCTGACCCACAGGCGGGTGGATCAGACGACAACTGTTTGAGAAGGCACAGCGTGCCAGCACACCCTCCCTCGAGAAGCAAGAGTCATGCGAGAGTGCCTCGTGCTTCAACGAGGGCCTGCAGCACGGCAGAGGCGCACGTGCAGGGTAAGGTGCCTCGCCCTTCAACGAGAACTGGCGGCGCGGCCGGAGGGGGGGCTGTCGCGAGGAAGGCCATTTCAGTTGGCCTGGCACACGCTCCGCCAGCGCGGAAGTCCCCTCGTCCTCTCAAATTGCCCCTCTTGCCGCGCCGCAGCTTCTCAATGAAGTACGAGGCGCCTCCCCGTTCATGCGCGCCTCTGCCGTGCTGCAGGTCCTCGTTGAAGCACGAGACGCTATCGCGTGGCTCTTGCAAGTCTTTTCCCGAATGAAGGTGTGCTGGCAGGCTGTTGGATCCTGTTTTCTCCTGGGGATTCCGCCCACCTCGTGGCGGTTCTCGTGTGTGCTCCCCTGCTGCCGCTGCTTCTCCGCTGGTGTTGCTGCGCGCCCCCCCCTGCGTGTTCCCCCTGCTGCTGCTCCGCAGTGCAGGTGCCACTGCTGCTCGTGGTTGAGTGGGCCCTTCCGCCCGGCTGCGGGCTGGTCGGCGGGTATCGAGGCGACCAGGGCGGAACCGTCTGCTGCCTGTTGCCTTCGCGCCAGGGAAGCACGGAGGTGCTCGACCGAGTGCCCTGGCCGCCGCGCTCTGCCGCCCCTCGTCGTCATGCTTCGCTGTTCCTCCTACCCCCAGATGCTTATGTGTCCGTTCTCGGGCTGCTCGCCACAAGGGATGGCTGACCATGGATATTGGTGCGCGCATGCGGTTGACAAAAAAAGAAGGATGAGGATGAGGATGAGGAGGAGGAGAAGAAGAAAGGAAGAGGAGGAGGAAGAGGAGGAGGAGGAGAAGACGCGCGAGCACGGCTCTATTGAAAACGATGACCAAACGCAGAGGAGTCGTGAAAAATACAGCAGGACCGCCGCCCTAGACCCCAACTTGCTGAGGCATCTTCTGAGCCGGATCGACACAGGGTGAAAACGCCTGGTGCGAAAAAATGCAACGCCCAGATCCCAGGGAACGCCCAATCTCCTCCTCGGCGACTCCGAAGGGTGTGGTTTGCAAGGGGTGTGGCTTGCAACGTACACCCTTGGGGGGCGGGCCAGGACCTCGACAGAGTTCTCTGCCGCGCCCCGAGGAGGCCCGACGAGGGCAGCGAGGTGCCCCCCGAGCCCCAACGACGCAGATCGCCAACCACACCGCAGCGTAACCACACCTTTTGTCGTCGGCGACCGCCGCCCTCCTCCAGGCCGGGCGGGCAGCGGCCATGTTGGACAGCGTGGTGCCGGGCAGCGCGCTCACGGTCGAGCCGGTCGCCTCCTGCGGGGTCCACTCCGCTATCAGAAGGCGTAGGGCGGAGCGGGGGCTGTGCTCGGGTCGGACGAGACGGGGGAAAGCGGGCACTTCAGGTCGGACGCAAGGGTGGGACAGTCTTCCTCTTGCTCTTTTTCTCAGGGGCAGACAGGGCTCCAGGAAGCTACCCCGAATTACATGCGATTGGGAACAATGAAGCAGCGATGCACAGAGAGACCCAAGACAGCGCCACGACAACGAGAGAGCGGCGGAGAGCGGCAAAGCAGAGGCCTGGCAGCGGAGCGACAGCACAACGACAGCGACTGGGGTGGGATGGTCCCCCGCCTCCTCTCGCTGTGAAAAAATCACTACGAGAAGTGTTTGGCCGTTGTCAGCCTTCGCGTGCCCTCACCAAGGCTCGGGACCGTCAACCAGCTACCCGGGATGAAAAAACGGCTCCAGGGAAGGGGTCCAGACCTCTCCAGGTCGACGTTGCGAGTAGAACCTGGCGCCCGAGTTCTGGGGTTCCAACGGCGTGAGCGAGTCATCCCACGTAGCTGGTTGTTTTCCGTGCGCCTCCCACACCTGCGCCGGCACGGGAACGGAAAGAGCGGACCAGGAACTTGCCCGAGATGGCTCACAGCACTCTTGGGAGACTTGGTGGAGAAAGCTTGTTACGTCACCACTCTCTGTTGGGAGCCATGGTGCTCAAAGACTTTTCCGTTGTCGCTCGCTCCTGGGAGCCTTGGTGTTGAGAGTTGTTTACGTCACCGCGCTCTGGGGGTCCTTGGTGTTCAGAGCTTGTTGCGTCACCGCTCACTGTGGGGAAACATGGAGTTCCTTAGCGTCTCTGGGTTCTTGGGAATCTATTGGGGGCCCTTTTGGACCGTTTTTGGGGCTCTTGGGCCGTCTTTGGGCCAGCCCAGTCCCTACACCCAAGCAGCCCAGACCCCATACCGCCTCTTCGGGCCTGCTTGGGAGCCTCTTGGGGCCCTCTTGGGGCTCTCTTGGGGCCGTCTGGGGCCCTCTTAGGCTGTCTGGAGGCCCTCTTGGGCCGTCCGGGGGCCCTCTTGCACAGTTTTCAGCCCCTTTGGGGGGCCTCTGGGGCTTCTTGGAACGATATTTGGGGCCTCTTGGGCCGTCTTGGGCCCGTCTGGGGGCCCTCTTGGACCGTTTTGGGCCCCTTTGGGGCGCGTCTGGGGCCGCCTTGGGACGATCTTTAGGGCCTCTTGGGCAGTCTGGGGCCCTTCTGGGACTGCAAAGGGGAGAACCCAAAAAACCTTCAAAAAACCTTTGGGAATCAATGTTTTTGGCCTCTCGAGGGCCTCTGGAGCCGTCTCGAGACTCTCTTGGACCGTCTGGAGGCCATCTGAAGCTCTCTTGGGGCCGTCTTGGGGCCCTGTGAAACCGTTTTGGGGCCCTCTTGGGCCGTCTTGGGGCCCTCTGGCTGGCTCTCCCGGAAAAAATACGGAAAAACAGGCCACAGGAGCCGCTCGGGAATCTCTTCACCTGGGCTGGCACGGAAACGGAAAGAGCGCTTCAGAAACAGAAACCGAAATTACTCACGCCGCCGTTCGTACTGGGAACCTCGGCGTTGAGAGCTTGTTACGTCACCCCTCGCTCTTGGGAGCCTTGGTGTTCAGAGATTGTTGCGTTGCCGCCCGTTCCTGAGCCTTGGCTGGGCCTTGGTGTCAGCAACTTGTTACGTCACCGCTCTCTGCTGGGAGCCTTGGTCTTATCAACTTGCTTACGTCACCGTTCGCTCTTGGGAGCCTTGGTGTGAAGAGCTTTTTGCGTTACCGATCGCTCTTCATTTGACGTCTCTGGGCCTTCTTGGGAGCCCTTTTGGAGGCCTCTTGGGAACCTCTTGGGGGCCTCTTGGGCCTTCTTGGGGGGCTCTTTGGGGCCTCCTGTGAGCTTTTTGGGGCGAAAGGCTAGACTTTTCGGTTCGTGGTCCCCCTCTTGGGGCCGTCTTGGGGCCCTCTTGGGCCGTCTTGGGCGCCTCTTGGGCCGTCTTGGCGCCCTCTTGGGCCGTTTTGGGGGCATCTTGGGAGCCTCTTGGGCCGTCTTGGAGCGGTCTGTGGGGCCTCTTGGACCGTCTTCAACGCCGTGAAAGCCGAAAAGCCGTGTATGCTAAAAATGTACATTTCTCCCATCGGAAGCAAATGATTTTGGCCTCCCGGTGGCCTCTTGGGACGCCTCTTGGGGGCCTCTTGGGGGTTCTTGGGGGGCTCTTGGGGCCTCCTGGGAGCGTCTTGGCGCGAAAGGCTAAGACGTTTCGGTTCGTGGTCCCCCTCTTTGGGCCGTCTTGGGGCCCTCTTGGGCCGTCTTGGGCGCCTCTTGGGCCGCCTGGGGGCCCTCTTGGGCGCCTCTTGGGAGCCTCTTGGGCCGTCTTGGGGCGGTCTCTGGGCCGTCGTCAACACCGTGAAAGCCGAAAAGCCGCACATGCTAAAAATGCACGTTTTCCTAAGGAAAATCGATGATTTTGGCATCTTGGGGCCCTCTTGGGACGCCCCTTGGGCGCCTCTTGGAGGCCTCTTGGGGGCCTCTTGGGCCGTCTTGGGCGGTCTTGGGCTCTCTTGGAGCGCTCTTGGGCCGTCTTGGGGGGGAGCCCGAAAAACATACAAAAACCCTAGGAAAAACCCAAAAATGACCATTACCAACCCTGCGTCCGCGCCTCGCCCCCCCTCTGCACTCCTCCCTTAAGGGCTTCGCCCCACACTAGAACGTCATCACTCGTACCTCGCTCTTTCCGTTATTCGAAAAAATACTAAGGAAACGGCCCCCCAGCGGCCATTAGACGTATACGTTCTATACGTGCCCCGCTCGCCCCTCCCTTGGACCCCTCCCTAAAGGGCTTCGCCCCAACTGAACGTACATCACTCGTACCTCGCTCTTCCCGTCACCTGGGCCAGCACGGGAACGGAAAGAGCGCCTCAGGAACTTGCCCGAGATGGCTCATGGCACCCTTCGCTTGGTGCTAAGAGCTTGCTACGTCGCCGCTCTCCGTTGGGAGCCCTGTGTTCAGAGACTCTTACGTTGCCGCTCGATCTGGGAAGCCTTGGTGTTGATAATTGTTTGCGTCACCGTTCGATCTTGGGAGCCTCGGTGTTACGAGCTCGTCACATCACCGTTCGCTGTTGGGAGCCTTGGTGTGAAGAGATTCTTACGTTACCGATTGATATTTTATGTGGCGTCTCTGGGCCTTCTCGGGGGTCCTTTTGGGGCCCTTTGGGCCCTTTTTGACCGTCTTGGGGCCCTCTTTGACCGTCTTTGGGCCCTTGTGGGCCGTCTTGGGGCGTCTTGGAGACCTGTGGCCGTGTTGGCGCTCTCTGGGCGGCCTCTTGGAGCCCTCTTGGGAGCCTCTTTGGGATCTCTTGGGGCTCTCTTGGGGCCGTCTTGGGGCCCTCTCGGGCCGTTTCGGGGCCCTCTTGGGCAGTCTTGGAGCCCCCTTGGGCCATTTTCGGGCCTTTCTGGGGGCCTCTGGGGCCGTCTTGGGGCGATATCTAAAACCTCTTGGGCAGTTTTCGGCCGTTCTTGGCCCGAAAAGGCGAAACCCGGAAAAACCTTCAAACACCATTGAAAAACAATTGAGTGTTGCCTCCTCGAGCCCTCTTGGGAAGCCTCTTGGAAGCCAGGAGCGTCTTGGGGGCCTCTTTGACCATCTTGGGGCCATCTTAGGGCGTCTTTGGGCCCTCTTGGACCGTCTTGGACCCAATTTAGGCCGTCTTGGAGCGCTCTTGGACCGTCTTGGAGCCGTCTTGGAGCCCTCTTGGACCGTCTTGGGCGCCTCTGGGGCCGTCTTGGGCGCCTCTGGGGCCGTCTCGGGGGGGGGCCTGGCCATTAACCGGAGCTGTCCCCGCCTCCCCACCCCCTGCACTCCTCCCTAGAGGGCTTCGCCCCAACCCAACGTAAATCAATCGTACCTCGCTCTTTCCGTCATCCGCCGCCCCCTGTGCTTGTCACAGGGGTGCCTGGCGTGCTGGATCCTTTCGGTTTTGGTTTTGGTTCTTTTCCAAAAGAACTTCCCCAGGGGATTCGGCCCGTCCCGCCGGCCACCCGGAAGGGACCGCCAACTGCACCAAGATGGCCAAGAGTCCCGCCGCCTTCTGAGAAGGCCTTCTCCTTCTCCTCGCTTCCCCCCCCCCTCGCTCAGTCGCCGCCGATTCCTCCAGGAAGCCCTGGCGCGCCGCCGACGCCGCTGCAAGCGCGGCGACAGGCGGGCCCTGAGATCCGACGTTGCGAAAAAGACGCCACATCGCTAAGGTTACCAGCCTCGAGCTTATCCCTATCCCTAAGATTGACACGCCAAAAGGCGATGACAATCTTAGGGATGCGCCCTCAAAAAAATAGGGGAATCCCCAAGATTGGCATCGTGCTGAGGAGATGCCCAGCACAGGGATAAGGACATGTTCCAGGCTGGTAATAAGAATCACGACCTGAGCCCTGGACCCCATCTTTCTGCTGCAAGTTTCGGGCCGGATCGATCCGTGCAGGGCACGGGGCCCGAAACTGGGCGGAGACGCCCAGTTTGCAAAAAGAGTGCGACGCCTGGATCTCAGGGGGGGGGGGGCTGGCGGAGGCGCTCGTGAACGGGCGTCTTGCCGAGGCCCCTGCGCTTGCGCATCGAGATGCGGTTCAGCAGCGACGACTTCCCCGAGTTCGCCGCGCCTCTGCGGGCGCAATGGTGCCCGGTGGGCGCGCAGGCCCGCGATCGAGGGATCGAGGAACAATACAATCCGAGTCTCGCACAATCAAAGCGAATCGCAAGGACGCGCGGTGAGGGCACAGGGGCCCTGGACGCCAAAGTTGAACTGTTCGGGCGGTGCTGGACGGGCCGAAGAGGCCGAGCAACGGCCGATGAGGCAAGGACGCAGGGGCACCCTCGGCAATGGCCTGGTCCTTCTGACGCAGTCGACTGCGACGACGGGGGGCCCGCCCCTGGGCTACTCGCCCCAATCGTCGCCTCCGATGCAGCAGTAGAGATCAGAACATCCACCCTCGTGATCAGCACCCCGACAAGCGAAACCGTGTAGCACACGCACCCAAGGAAGGAATCGAGCAGGGCAGGGCTGCTCAGTAAACGCCCAACGCCGTTCAGCAAGCGCCAATTCTCGGGGTCGGGGTGCTTACTCCTCCCTTGAATCAGCGGCGAGCGGGGGGGAAGTGAGAAGGAGAAGGCCTTCTCAGAAGGCGGCGGGAGTTCTCAGAAACCCTCGCGCCTTCCGAGAGGTCTCCTGTGCCATCAGGGAAGGCCTAAAAAACTTCTCAAAGGCCGGGGGGCTTCCGAGCCTTCGGAGAAGGCCCGCCCCTTCTCGCTTCCCCCCATAGGCTCGCCGCTGTCGGCTGCACGCAAGAGTGACCCTGGGTAAGAGTGACCTTTGGTGCGCGGCTTTGGGGGGCCGCGGGGTAGCCAAATACAAGCGCGCAAGACGCCACGGGACCCCATTGGGTCCGCACCACAAAGGTCACTCCGGCGAAAGGTCACTCCTACGTCTAGTCGACGCTGGTTGAAGCAAAACCCCCCCCCCGGGGGGCGGCGCCCCCGCTGGCAACACCGAGCCGACCCACGCCGCGGACAGCCGCCGCGGCGCCGAGGGCGCGCCGGCGCGGCGCGCCGACACGCGGGCGAGACCGGCCCCCGCCGGGCGGGCCCCCGCCGGGCACCCCCGTCGCGGAACACAGCGGAGGCTCTCGGGGCGCACCAGTCAAAAACCCTGATAAGGACGCGCGGTAAGGACGCAAGACCCTTGGAAGCCGAAGTTGGGATTGTTTGGGGCGGCGGACGACGAAAACCCCAAGACGAAACCAAGGAAGGACGGAGACGCAAGAGCAAGGAAGAGAAAGGACGCAAGGGTACCCTGAGCAAAGTCGCGCGTCCTTACAGGGGCTTTTGACTGTAGGCCGTTCTGGGCCTCCTCCTGCCATCGCTCGGACGTCCATTCCCCGTGCGCGTGTCGGTTTGGGCTACATGAGCTAGGATGCTGCTCGACGGTGCTCGCCGAGAAAAGACGCGCACGTCCGAGCGATGCCAGGTCCTGGGGCGCCCTCGTCGCCACAGCTGCCGCCTCGAAGGTCGGACCCGGGCTGACCCGGGGAGAGATCCCTATAGGGGGCCGAGCTGGGCGGGCCCCGTCCCGGGACGCCCAGCGCCACGAGCAGAGGGCGGAGGTGGGGCCTGCGCGGGGCTGCCTCCGGGAGTGGTCTGCACGAGGAGTGGTCTGCACGAGGAGTGGTCTGCACGAGGAGGCGCGGGCCACCGGGGGCGGCAGGTGCGCCTCCGTGGCCCCGCGTCGCGAAGGGAGAGGCCACGCCGTCGGAGGTCCGGGGAGGGAGCTCAGAGGCGGCCAGGGGCTGCGCGCGGGAGGGGTACCGAGAAGCACGGCCGAGACGGGCACACAGTACCCAGGCTCGCGGTCCTCACCCCCCATTCCACTCCTCCTCCTCCTCCTCCTCCTCCTCCTCCTCCTCCTCCTCCTCCTCCTCCTCCTCCTCCTCCGCTCCTCCTCCTCCTCCTCCTCCTCTCCTCCTCCTCCTCCTCCCTCCTCCTTCTCCTCCTTCCCTCCTCCTCCTCCTCCTCCTCCTCCTCCTTGGCCCAGAGTGGTGAGCGCCAAAAAGGCAACCCTTCTCGGGCGCGGTCTGACCGACGCCTTCTGTGAGGAGCCCCTCCTGTGACGAACCCCCTCGCCCTCGAGGCTCCCCTCTGGCCGCCATCCACATTTCGGAGCGAGGCGATGGGTCGTCGCGGCAGGGGTCAGTTCACCAGGGGTAGGTCAGGGAGCCCCTGGCTTGGCACACCCAAAGTGGGCATGGAAGGAACGGGTACAGTGCCCAACGGCACATGTTGCCCAAAACCGACAGCGGCCGCTGTTGGGCGGTTGACCGTCTGCCTCACGCGGCGACGCCAACAGCGAGTCCTGTTCAAAATGAGCACGAACACATGTCGGTCTTTGTCCCCAGTCTTCTCGCACCCATTTCTGGAGAAGACAAACAATACCGATGCCGCTACTCCCCAGACCTCTCATGAGGTGGCCCGAAGTTCGAGGCGAATCCAGCCGTGGCCACGAGGGCCTCCCAGGAGGCCCGAACAGGCGCACACCGGGCAGGGTTAGCGGCATCGACATCCTTCCTCGCCTGAGGCTCGATCGCACAGACAGATCCCCACGGTGAAGCACACAGGTCGCCCAACCTCGCGCTTCTGCGCTGCGCCGTGCGCGCGAAGCAGCGCGCGCCCCCGCGCGTTCCCGCGCCGCCGACCCCTCCAACTGGGCCCAGACCGCAGGGCGCGAAGCACGGCCATCCACTTCTGAGCCCCTGCCGTTGGCGCAAATCACTGCTTCACTGGGGGGCGGCGGGGCAGCTTCCTGCCCCGCCAACGCGGGCCCGCCACGCGCTGCCTCAACCCGAACAGCTCTGGTGTCCCAGAAACCGTGCGGTGGCAGGCCGTGCGGCGACCTCGAAACCCCAAGAGACCTCCCCGCACGGTCCGTCACCGCGCGGTGCTGGGACCCTGGCGGCCCCAGTCGCCCGAGACGCTCTCGGCGAACGACCCAGCTCCCCAAACGTCGGTCACCCGAGAATCCCGAATGAGAGCCACCGTGGAGGCTGGGAGGAGTTGGATGATGCCTCCAGCGTCCGCACACCGAAGTCTTTCAGCTCGGCAGCCCTGGCCTCGCGTGTCCTCATGGTGACTCGGGGGCTTCGTCGTTGAGCGGGAATGACCAGAGTCAGGTCTGCGCCTGGGCTCCGTCACCGCACCGACCGTTCAGCTTCGAGCGGCCGCCGCCGTCGGGGGCCCCTGGAGGCTGCAAGGGATCTTCATCCTTGAACGCCAGCGCCTGCGATGCCGCCGCCCCGGGACGGCGCGGACATACCATGCGCTCATCGTTCTGTGGGTCGCCCGTGCAAGCCCAGCGGCACACTGCTGCTGCTCATCCCCGACCTCACGAGGTATAGCGACATCGTAATCCGACTTGATGTGCTACTAGGCGAAACGTTCGAGAGAGACATCCATGGGAACGTCGATAATCATAATGACTGTTATGTTCCTCCACCGGGACCGATACCAACTTAGCAGCAAGCCAGTCTCACAAACATGCAAATGTCAAACTGAAAGCCCAATCAAGGCGCGAGGCCTTGGCTTATGCAAGCTGTGACTATGATAAACATACTTGCGCGTGGTGGCACCACCAAACGGCATCGCCCCAATGCCCATCCCCTCTGGTGGAACACACCTGCACATGAAACGCGGCATGTCGCTTATGGCTTTCAGCACGAACAGTCGGCAACACCCGATTGATTTCCCGAGCGCTACGAAAACCAGCGGCACACGAATTTGCCAGTGGCTATACCAAGCTTGGAGGCGACACACACACACACACACACTTTTGCGTCGTGCGGGACGAGGTCCTCTGAGAGATCCACCTCGAGCACGAAGCCTTTGGTTCCTTCTCCCAACATGCTCGTCGAGGGCATCGCCCCTACCTTCTGGTAATCGCCAACGTGCTTCTTGAAGATCCTCGTCTTGCCACGCAACGGAATTAGTTCCATCTAATCGCACGTTTTGGACGCCCCGACCAGCCTGCAATGGCCCAGCGCGGTGCGCAAACGATCCGCGACGAATTCGTTGTACCACGTCATGCAAGATAAGTCATCGCAGATGAACTTGCGCTCGGCTTCCACCGACCCGCGAAGAACGGCGCAGACCGCGCTCTCCGGCAAGGGATTCTCGAGTTCCCGATAGAGCACGCACGCGATCTCAGTGTGTCCACCTTCGTCCTAAGAGATGAGCTCGATTGAACATGTCAAGCCTGGCATCCGCCCACGTTTCTTCAGCCTGTCTCCCGCACAGAACGAGCCGCTGAAGTGTATACTTGCAACAGCAGCAATATCCACAAGCCGCTCGGCGAAACAGTTGTCGTGTTTCAAACCTGCACTGCCAACTCCGCCTTCTTCTGGATCGCTGGCATAATGTGGATCGCATCGAAGACTATCTCTTTTCAACCTGGCTCCTGATACACTGCCCGATCCGGAGCAATTGCGAATCAGAATGGATGTTCTCATATGTTCCCCGTTCACATCTGTAAGCCATCAATGGCACGCGCCTCTGGTGGCTAGACCTCTGTGGTGAACTACGCGTCCAAATTCTCCAACACTACTCCGTCCGAGGCGGCGAAACACCCGATCAATTGCTTGATGCAGTGCCTCCCGCTGTCTGCAAGAGACTCCCAATCCCAGGGGTACTGCTAGAGATCGATCCCTTCCGCCGTCCAGACTGAGGCCACGTGCTTCTTGCGCATCTCCGCTCATATCCTAAGTATCGGGGTGAACGATGGGACACATCACCTGGCGCTTGGAGTTGTCCTACAGGAGAGGCTAAAAAATTATCCAGCTCGCGGCACTCGGCCGAGACGCAGCTGACTGGCCGTCGTGGCGACTTGGGCTGACGGAGCAATTTTTCGCAGCGTAGGCTTCTCGCTGCCAGTGCACGGGCGCCTGAGAGCCGAAACGGCCTTCACTACCCAGCGTTAAGCACTCTCTTTCACTACAGTCTTGCCTTGATACACGTTGCCTCAGAGCAGCAACACCAAAGATGACTCACACATTGTGTATACTGGTCAAATAACGACGGCCCCACGCAACAACAATGAACCATGTCCGCGTCGTCTCTCACTACACGCCTGCGAAGTAAGTGTGCACTCGGAGAACCTAGAACGACGCACGTCATGGTGGTCAAGGACACCGCCAATCCCACCAGCCCTCTGGCGCAGGTTGTTCAGAGCCCCAGCCCTTCTTCCCCTTCAGGAAGGGGCACGCCCTCCACCCTCCCTCCAGGCACGATTTGTGGCGCTACGCGGGGCCGATTCTCAGACTCGGGGATGCCTTCCCGAGGTTCTGAGCCTGGGCGGCGATGTGTCGTAGCGTCCCAGATGGCCCAACTTTGTTACAATGCGGCCACGGGAAAAAAAAGGTACTCCAACATGGCCTTCCAGATGGCACGAGACGGCCCAAGTTGGCCTGCGTAGAAAAAAATAAATTACCCCAGTGCGACCCGACCTAGAAGTTGGAGCCCCTAGGAAAGTAGCCTTAGTTGCTATGCTATTTTATGTTATGCTATGCCACGCTATGCTACGATATGATTTGATATGGTATGATATGCTATGCTGCGCTATGATATGAAATGATATGCTAAGCTAAGCTACGCTATGACATGTTGCGCGGCGTTGTGCTAAGTTAGGCTATGCTATGCTATGCGATGATTTGATATGCTAGGATGCGCTCTGCTATGCTATGCTGTGTTATGCTGTGCTATGATATCCTATGATATGATATGGCATGCCATGATATGCTATGCTATGATATACTGCGCTATGATATGCTATGTTATGATTGGCTATGTTATGCTACGATACGCTATGTTATGCTAATGCAGCGCTGCGCTATGCTAAGCTAAGCTAAGCTAAGCTAAGCTAAGCTAAATTAAGCTAAATTTATCTAAACAGAGCCCAGGTAGGGAATTACACCCATGCTAATTACTCGAACAGAAAACTAAACTGGCAACGCGGCTGGCACACACGAGCGCCACAAAATACACCCACAGATCCGGGGCAGGAGGACCAGGAGCTGGATGACGGTGAGGATGACGAGGAGGAGCAGGTGGCAGCAGCGGCAGTGGCGGCAGCGGCGGCGTCGCCCACGGATCCGTCCTTTTGTTTGCTCTAGGCGGGGACGACGACGACGACGACGACGACGACCGACGACGACGACCGACGACGACGACGACGACGACGACGGATGCTGCGGTGATGCGATTGTGCCCATGGTGGGGGCGACGGGGGCGACTACGATGATGATTTTCGCCTCTAGGCCCGCTCCGCAATATTTTCCATGGCCGCGGCCACAACGCAGGCTGTTCAGCACTGCGCCTCGAAGGCTGTTCAGCACGTCTATCTGCGCAGCAGCTTTAATTCAAGGCTGGGGCGCGCGCGGGCCGACAGGAGCCGACCGGCTCCGGTCGCGGCTGCTCGTGGCAGGCTCTCCGGACGCCGAGGCACGCACGGTGGTGCCGACGGCGCTCTGGACCGTCTCCTCGGCCGCGGTCTCGCTCAGGAACCGCCCCCCCGGCAGGACGGCGTCGACCCGCCCGAGCCCGAGGCCCAGCCTGCCCAGGCGGCGCTCGGTCAGCAGCCAGTCGCGCACGCCGGCGAGCGGAGCGTCGGGCGCCACTGCGATCTGGCAGCGGTCCTCTCCGCCGAAGGTCACGACATGCACCGAGCCGGCATCGACAGAAGCCGGGAGGAGCAGCGTAGGCAACAGATGCGGCACGTATGTCAGACCTTCCATCAGCGGCGGCAAGTCGCACTGGCCGTCACCATCGAAGCCGCACGCCAAAGCCGTCCCATCGCTCCTGAGCAGAACGGTGTGGTCCGATCCTGCCGCGACCTGGACGTACCTCTGGCCTGCAGGCAGCGGCGGCACATTGCACTGGCCGTCATCATGGGATCCGCACGACGCCGCCGTCCCGTCGCTCCTGAGCAGGACCGCGTGGTCCGATCCTGCCGCGACCTGGACGTACCTCTGGCCTGGAGGCAGCGGCGGCAAGTCGCACTTGCCGACGCGATTGGAGCCGCAAGCCACCGCCGTCCCGTCGCTCCTGAGCAGAACGTTGTGGCCCGATCCTGCCGCGACCTGGACATACGTCTGGCCTGCATGCAGCGGTGGCAAGTCGCACTGGCCGTAACAATTGTAGCCGCACGCCACCGCCGTCCCGTCGCTCCTGAGCAGAACGGTGTGTTCCGATCCTGTGCTGCGCTATGCTATGCTATGTTATGCTATGCTATGCTATGCTGCGCTATGCTATGCTATGCTGGGCTATGCTATGATATGCTATGCTGCGCTATGCTATGCTACGCTATGCTATGCTATGCTGTGCTCTGCTATGCTAGAGCTCAGCGAAGCTAAGATGAAGGTAAGCTAAGCTAAGATAAACCTGAGCTCTGAGCTAAGATGAAGCTAAGCTAGGCTAAGATGAAATAAGCTAAGCTACGATGAGATAAGCAACGCTAAGCTAAGGGCACGTAACTGGGGGAACCGCGGGGCGGATACTGGGGAAACCGCCCGGGCCGGTTCCCACTGCCCGGCCCTTTAAGCCACAAGAGAGTAAGAACCCTTCTAGGCAGAGCCTAGGTAGGGAAATTGAGCACAAGAAGAAATAGTCAGAGCTGAGCTGAGTAGAGTACACGGCTGTAGCGAAGTGAACGATCGAGTAGGAGGATCGAGTAGAGAATATCAGTACATTATGAGCGGGCATCGGCCGAATACACTGCATTGCCAATTGCAGTATGAATTGTATGTGTTCCATTGCCGCGTTTGTTGTGTTCATTTGGAGCCAACGCTGGCTGATGATTCTCTAGGGCGCGGGTGTGCACCAAACATATCGGACGTGGCGGGGACGTGCGAGTATGAGTGCGGATATGCAAGATGTCAGAAAACATGAAAGCGTGCCAGTAAGGTGATCCCGAAATGGATTGCAACGCATTCGGAACATGTCCGCACGTCCTGTAGGAGCCCACTTCGGGGTGCGCCGAGGTGATTCCTGGAATGGTGGACCGCGGATCCAAGTAATACCAAGGAGGGCATTGAAGCATTAGCAAACGAGGTGTTCGAGGAATTGGTATGGACGAACTGTTATGACTTTGGATCTTCTAGCGTCTTTGGATCTGCTCCTGTTACAATCAAATCGCTTGATAAGGATGCACGGTAATGATTCAAGGGCCTTGGAGGACCATGTGGGCATTTTCGAACGGGGCTGGCCAGCGAAAGTCGCGAAGGGTGGGCCGAAAATGCAAAGATGCAAAGGTAGCCTTGAAAAGTTGGTCATCCGTAATTATGCGACTTGACTGCAATGCGGCCAAACTGTGGAAACAAACAATAAAAAACAGGACTATTACATAAACAGACATTTCTCGACTGGATCGCTGGCTGCGGCCTGGTGGCCTCAACAGCGACGACGACGAACCATCAATATCCATCGGTCGGAAGAAGTAGGTAGAACCTTGAAGTAGGAAGGCTTTGGAAGTAGATCAGGTTTCCGCCCGCCCCCTGAAGAGGAGGGAAGAGGGAAAACCACTCGACTCGTGAAGTAGGAAGGCGGCTAAAATAAATTAGGATCTGGGAATCCAAAAATACCAACTTTCAACGACCGGCGTGCATGGTTGCATCATCCACTTCCACTGGGGCGCTGCACTTCCCAATCCCGGGCATCTGTTAGTCGATTAGTCCCACTACGGTGAGCATCCCAGCAGACATCCGTCGGCCTCTCATGAAAGCTGCCACCAGCATCGACCGTTGCTGCTCGGGCGCCAGGGGCTAGGAGGGGGTGCCGAAGGAAGAACAAAGCAGCCACAGGAGGACAAACGTCGCAAGATGTGTTCTGCGGCGGCGCCTACGAGGTAGAAGGTCTTGAGGTCTTCCGCAGCCTCCTTGGTGTCGAGCATGTTGCCGATCGATTTGACGCCCGTGCCTGTTCGGAAATGTGCTACAGAAACGAGGGCAGGGTCAGGGCATGCCCATTGAGCGTACGTGATTGTGGGGGTACGGGATCATCTCTTCAAAACCAGTCCCATCCTCCTCCTCGTGGTATGGTTCACCCCATCTCCAAAACCACGCTGCAGCACTTACCCCCTCGCATGTGCATGGAGGCGGCTGACAACCTGGCGTTGTGACCCCGTATGACCAATTGCGGAGAGAGAGAGAGAGGTGGGTGCCACATATGAAGCCCCTGTTGGGCGCAGCCTCGGATTTGAGGGCTGGGGGGGCCCAGACCCCCGACATCGCGTTTTGTGTCATAACGTGGACCCCCCGAGGTCTCGACGGACTTGCATCCTGAGTCTGTTTTTGGCGGCCCCCGGGCCCAGTAATCAAACGCCCCCAAGACCTCAACATCGCCATACACCTCCCGTCGTGATTTTTGCCAACGCGAGGAAATCTGGGGGGCCCTGTTGCGACAATTATAAACAGATTCGGGCGCGCGTGGGGCCGGATCGGGACCCTACTGATTCTGAGCTTCGTGACCGTTGGGACCCAGGCCCTGGGGCCCGTCTGCGAGGGCTGCGGCTATCTTGAGCGGCAACGTTAAAAGGGGGGGGCAACTCAGAGGGGGGAAACGTCGAGCTGGAATCGGCGATCCATCGCCGACCGATCGGCGATGTGCCAAGACAGCAAAGCCGCACTGTCCTGACTACCTATCAGACCACCCCAACCCAACCCGAAGACCCGAATTTGATCCGCATTTCGGGGGGGGGGGGGTACAGGCTCCATGTGTATTTTCACATGTTCCCCGATCCCCTCTCCACTGGGAATGAAGGGCACATTGAGGCCTTCGGGTTGGGTAGGGGTGGTCTGGTGGGTGGTGATGTCCTGGGTGGGGTGGGCTGTCAGGCACCTCTCGGCGATGAAGGAGCGCTCGGGGGCCGATGCGTCCCCGAGCCCATCGCCCCCTGGCGTTGCGCCCCCGATGCGGGGAACACTTGCGCGAAGCGTCAGCCATGAACAGCGACGGCTACCACTCTTTTACCGCCCGGAGAAGCCCAATGGCACAGGAGGGCGCAGAGAGGGAGGAGGGAGGGGAGGGGGAGACCGGAGAAAATCAGCGCGGCCTCCAGAGAAGACGAGAACTAATTCCAAAGTAATCCGGCGGGCCGGGGCGCTCCAACAGCCGGCGGCGCACCGCCGCTCGCCAGCCGGCCTCGCTGCCGCCTGCGCGCGGAGCCCCCAACAGCAGCAGCCCGGCCGCCCGCGGGGGCAGCGCAGGGGCCACCACACCGAGGCGGCTGGCTGAGTTCGACAGGGGATCTCATCCCAGGAGGGACAGGCAGGGCTGCTTCAGCCCAGGCCTGCGCGGCTGCTTGCCATCCACTCGTGGGGCTCTGGGGCTCTCGACATGGTGCCGTCGAAATGGTCGCGGAGTCCGCGATGTCACCGACCACACCCGTTCTCGGAGACCGTTGGCCCATGCAGACAGAGGGGCAGTCTCACTTTCAGGGGCACCTGGACCTGGACAGGCCTTCGCGACGGCAGGCGCCGCACAGCTCCGAAAGAGACGAGGCTGCCTTGGTCTGCGAACGGCTCATCCTTGGCGTTGCCTGCTCGTTTGGGGAAAACGATCTGGGGCCATCGGCCCGTGGACCTCGCGCAGCGGGCCGCTCTGGCGGTGGGCCCCAGGGCCCAGCAGAGCGGGCCCCACTCTGTTACATTTTCCCCTCCCACTTTCCGTCCCTCTCGCCTCCTCCTCCTCCTCCTCCTCCTCCTCCTCCTCCTCCTCCTCCTCCTCCTCCTCCTCCTCCTTCTCATCCTCCCCTTCCCACGGAAATCAAAAAGCGGGAAAGATTGAGATCCTGAAAGGAAGAGAGAGAGAGAGGAGAGAGAGAGAGAGAAAACACCACAACAGCAACAACACAACAAAGCAAGGGCGGCCAGCGCCGTACCGTCACGGGTCGGCGCTGGCCGCCCGGGCCTTAAAGGCACGGGCGGCCAGCGCCGACCCGTCGGGACCCCCCCCCGGCAACAACCACAACAACGACCCCCCCCCCCCCCCCACAACACCCACAACAACGCCATTGAATTCGATTTGTGTGAACATCTGCGGACCTCCTCTCTGGCACCAACGAATCCCTGCTGGCAAAAAGCATGTGTGCACCGGCGAAGCAAGGAATTCCTAGGAATCTTTGGGAATACCTGGGAATCCTTCGGAATTTTTAGGAATCCTTAGGAATGTCCTAGGAATCCGTGAGAATGTCCTAGGGATCCTTAGGAACCTGTACAGATCCGTGAGACTGTCCTGTCCGTGTATAGGATCCTATACAGATCCGACACGGACTGTATAGGATCCCATTCAGATCCGATACGGACTGTATAGGATCCTATACAGATCCGATACGGACTGTATAGGATCCTATACAGATCCGATACGGACTGTATACGATCCTATACAGATCCGATACGGACTGTATACGATCCTATACAGATCCGATACGGACTGTATACGATCCTATACAGATCCGATACGGACTGTATACGATCCTATACAGATCCGATACGGACTGTATACGATCCTATACAGATCCGATACGGACTCTATACGATCCTATACAGATCCGATACGGACTGTATACGATCCTATACAGATCCGATACGGACTGTATACGATCCTATACAGATCCGATACGGACTGTATCGGATCCTATACAGACCCGATACGGACTGTATACGATCCTTCACAGATCTGATACGGACTGAATAGGATCCTACACAGATCTGATACGGACTGAATAGGATCCTACACAGATCCGATACGGACTGCATAGGATCCTACACAGATCCAATACGGACTGCATAAGACCCTTTCCAGATCCGATACGGACTGTATAGGACCCCCTACAGATCCCATACGGACTGTATAGGATCATATACAGATCCGATACGGACTGTATCGGATCCTATACAGATCCGATACAGACTGTATGGGACCCTGTACAGATCCGATACAGACTGTGTGGGACCCTGTACAGATCCGATACAGACTGTATGGGACCCTGTACAGATCCGATACAGACTGTATGGGACCCTGTACAGATCCGATACAGACTGTATAGGGCCCTGTACAGATCCGAGGCCCGCACTGCGACCCCGTCCCACTGGGTCGCAGTGCGGGCCTCCGCGATATGGCAGAGGCCCGCACTGCGACCCCGTACCCCCCCCCCCCCCCCGCCGCGCGGACGCGACGCGCGACGCGACGCGTCGCACGTCGCGTCGCGGGGGCGGGGGGGGGGGGGCGCGACGGTGACCGACCCTCCTGCTACCCCAAGGCATACAACCCCCTGGATTAAAAAATGGAGACCGCAGGGGCCGAGGTAGACGTGGTTTGCCTCCCGTTAGGCAGCGGGGCCCCGGGACAATGTTGGATTTGTTGCCAATTCCGGAGTTTCCGGTGCCTCCATCATCCCTTTTAATATTATAAAGGCCAAATGGGGCTCCGACCGGAAAGTGGGATTCTGCGTAGGACTTCCTCAAAAAAAGTTTCCGGTCGCCTTCCAGGGCGACCGGAAATTCTGCCATGCCACCGGAAAGTGGCGATTCCGCGTGGGACTTCCTCAAAAAAATATTCCGGTCCCTTTTGAGGCCGCCAGACAGTGGCGATTTCGCGTGGGACTTCCTCACACATTACTTTCTGTCGCATCTCATGCCACCAGAAAACGACGATTTCGCTGGAGACTTCCTGACATTCGAGTTTCTGGTCTCATGTACGCTCACACAGACGCCGCGGACCTATTCCTCTTCCCACTCTCTCCTCTTTTCATCACAGTATTGGATTGTTCCGTGTCGCATGCTCTCCGTGCAAGTCAGATTCCAGTTGCCACAGCCTCGCGCGCGCGGTCCTATCTGCGCCTGGGCGGATGTCCGCAGGGATGGCCGTTGCATCGTTCGGTTCACAGGTTTGTCTTGGAGTCATCTTGAGGCCATCTTGAGGTCGCGTCGGGTCGCAGGCCCCCCTGTGGGAGGTTCGATCCCAGGGTCATTTTGGGGCGACGCGGTTGACCCAGGATGTACGGTCCAGAATCGACGATCCAGGATCGATGATCGAGGATACACGATCGATGACCCAGGACCGACTGTGGAAGAGCGAACCCATATCGATCGGAAACGAGGCTTTGGGTTCCACGGCCGATCAATGTTCGACAACCACCTAGCGATTGAGGGTCGGAGATCGAGGGTCGAGGATCCAGGGCCGTTCGGACATCGAGGAGCCAGGATCGAGCGGCCACGATGCGTCGAAGTTCGACGCTGGATGGCCGATCGAAGAGCGACGATCGAGAACCGATGTTCCAGGCTTGATCGAAACTCCAGGCTCCAGAATGCCTGGCCGATCGAACATCCATGATCGAGGTTCGATCGAGGCTCGAGGATCGAGGATCGAGGGCCCCAGATACTTCGAGGGTCGAGGATAGAGGTCCGGTCGAACAGCGACCATCGACTTCCCAGGATCCAGTCCCGATCGAAAGTCGCGGCTCGAAAGCCGAACGACGGACGAATACCAGGATGCGGCTCTTTCGGTGTAGCTCCGATCTCAACTTTTTAATCCAGGGGGTGGTAGGAATCCACTAGGAAAGCTTCGAGGTCCTTACGGCAGCCCACGCGTTCCCACCAGCTACAAGTATGCGCCCGCTACCGCGCCGACCTCGTAGTGCTACTGGTAGTGGCAGTAGTAGTAGTAGTAGTAGTAGCCCTAGTACTTCTAGTCGTAGTCGTAGTCATGGTAGTAGTAGTAGTAGTAGTAGTAGTAGTAGTAGTAGTAGTAGTAGTAGTAGTAGTAGTAGTAGTAGTAGTAGTAGTAGTAGTAGTAGTAGTAGTAGTAGTAGTAGTAGTAGTAGTAGTAGTAGTAGTAGTAGTAGTAGTAGTAGTAGTAGTAGTAGTAGTAGTAGTAGTAGTAGTAGTAGTA